CAAGGTGTGAAGGGGCCTGGCGCTACACACAGGAAGAATGCGCCAGGTCCAGACCATACACAGACGAAGAGGAGGGAATCAGACGAAGAAGAAGGGGGAGATGGGAATGTCGTCAACACCAAGTCTTTGTTACAAGTCCCAGATAATCCCTCGTCAAATGCCTGAAACCCAATGTCGAGTCTGGATCCAAACGTCACCAAGCCCGCTCTCTCGTAGTCTGCTGATGCAGTGAAGTCAGGTAGCGAGAGGGTGAGAGGGAGATGGTGGACTGAGAGGAGGAAGAAGAAGAACTCTCTCTCTCTCATGTGCCAGGTACTAACCTGTGTAGATGGCGCTGTGCTGCAGGTACCTCGAAGACGAAGCTGGAGCTATGGCGCTGCAGGTAAGGCTCCCTGGCCTCCGCCCAATCTCTCTCTCTCTCCAGTACTACTCTAGCTCCTACTAGCGCCCAGCGCTGAAGACTACTGCTAACGCTACTAGCGCCCAGCGCTGAAGACTACTGCTAGCACTACTACTACTCCTGCAGCGCTCCTCCAGAGTGCTGCTGCGGAATCCTGAAGACTACCTCTGCCTCCTGAACTGCACGTGAAGTGCCTGGGAAGTACCTAGGAACTACCTGCAGCCTGCAGGGCGGGCCAGTCCTATATAGTGCTGGCCCGTCCAGGAGGCTGCTCTTGCCAATGCCAAAACGTGCCAGACCCCGGCGTTGAAGCTCAACCAAGGGTTGTCTTGAAAACAGGCCCAAAATGGCCTGTGCTAAAACCCTGGTCTGGTGCCTGAGTTTCAGGGCAGGTCGATCTCATGAGGGTCTGAAAATGGCCCTCCGTTTCAGGCTGAAGAGACTTAGGGCCGGAAAGGCCCTGTTTTAGGCTGAAACGACACAGGGCCTGTAGGCCCTTGTTTTCAGGCTTTCAGGCTGAAACGACACAGGGCCTGAAAATGGCCCATGCAGCCTGTTGCAGGCGCAGCATGTTACATTCAGGAAGGAGGAACAAGGCTCTTCCCATTTCCTTATATGACCACCCACTATACACAGTCAATATAGGCTGTCCTATGCTGCTAAAAACAAATGACTCGTAACCAACGAGTAACAGAAGATGGTGGAGGGGCAATCAAAGGGAGCGACTGAGGCCGTGGGCGCATAGAAACAGCTTAGAGTAACTTAGGACAGGAGCAAACATGACAGCATTAGAGTCCAGAATAAGGAAAGAGAGGGTAAGCTAACAAAGTGAGAAGAGGGGTGAGCAGGGGTACATCCTTCCTTCAGGGAGCAATCGAGGCCACTGACTCAGGGTTCCTCGGCCATAACAAAAGAAAGCTTAGGGTGCGTTCCAATTGTAAGGGATGCTGAACCCGGTTTGCAGCAGAGAATAAAGGCCACTGCCTTGTCTTTGCACAGAAAACGAGCGAGAGCGAAATGACAAAATCCAAATTGCAACATCACATTGAAAGCCAGATTGTTTAACAGTGTCCAGAAAGCAGCATGCGGGAAAAAAAAAGGAAGAAAAAGAAAAGAAGATGAAGAGAAAAACGCTGGGTGTCCCAATGTAGAGATCAAAATCCTGGGAAGTCGAGAACGATAACAGAATATGATGTAAAGTTTGGGTACGCCCTCGGACTGCAGACCACAGACCCGAACCCCAGGCTGGTGGTGAAGTGGAGAAACCTCCTTCACTTAGACCCTGTGGCCCCCCTCACCATCCCATGGACCAAATATCTTCTCATCAGACCGATCAGAATCCGTCGCAAATTCAAATCGCTTCCCCCCATCGAAATCAGAAGTCTACAATGGTCGATCTCATATTTGTCACTCCCTGTCAATGACTGGCTCCACATACGCCAAAAAGAGAACGACCCAACTACCTTGGAAATCTGCTTAGTCTGTCCAGAACGGGAATGGGAAGATATTATCCATTGCCTAATCTGCTGTACCTAGGCTGCAGAACTCTGGGTATTGGGCTTCCCTGTTCTCTTCTCCCTTTCCCGAACTCCCTCTACAACTCCTTTCGAATGACATTCCGTCTGGATTTCAAATGCCTGAAAGGTTGTGGTTTGGCCTAATCCGAAAGACAACTCTGTGGGTCATCTGGAAAGATAAATGTGGCATGACGTTGGACGACACGCACAACAGTAAAGAGAAGGTCTGTGCTTTCACAAAAGATCAGGAGGAAAACCAAGGTGCTGATGGAGACGAGACGAGATGAAGAGCAATGCTCTTCAAATCATAATGCTGGTGGAACGGACTGGTGGGAGGCAAGATGGCTTATCAAGGGAAACCCACTTACACTGGAAAGATTGGCCAAACTATCAGTCTAGGCAAAGATGGCTAACATATCCTCACAATGAGGAGAACCCAATATGGTATTAGATCCAGCATCTGGGCGTTAGTCTAGCCTATCAATTTTTTGGGCTTTCAAGTTGTTCTGACAGTTAATTGACTGAGAGGAAAGTGGATAGAAGGCCTGCTGACAGTCCATCCTCTCACGGTGGAGCTACCAAGGCTGTTCAGAATGGGTCCGCTGACCTCAAACGGGTGGAAGAGTGTAAGGGTGGCATAATGGCATTATATCTATATTTTGGATTTGGCGGGGGCAAAGGAACCAGACTGATGATCCCCAGAATGGATATGGAGCCAGGACCATAAGGCCCTGTTTGATAAATAATCAGAGTTGCACAGGCTGACGGTCGGCACCTCTTGATTGGTCGGCTGGTCAGCACCTACCGGTCGGCGGTCGTCGGCACCCAGCAAAAAAAAAAAGTTATTTTTATTTTTATTTTGGGGGGGGGGAGTCCATAACCCCTGATAACCCCACTGGCACCTCCATAACACCCCCAACACCCC